GTCTCTATAGATAAAATTATCTAAAAACAAACCCAAACCCTAGCTCAACTCCAACCAGAAGTTGCTAAGAGACTAATATGTACTTGAAAACCTTCTAAGATTGATCTAACACCCCCTTATAATATCACTAAAGACTTACTAAATCAATATTCAAATACCACCTATGCCCAAATATTACAAATACCAAAGCAGCATAAAAATCTTGCCCAGACATTGCATTATCCAAAATAATACTAGTTGCAGAACAAATCTGGCTGACCCCAATTTGAGTTCTAGAACTACTGCTACTAAATATTACGTTCAGGTTAAAAATAATCTAATTTTAGTAGTTTTAGACTCTGATGCCACCATAAGTATTCTGTTCAAAAAATTAATAGACAAGTTGGATCTAACTATTTAGAAACTATCTACAGCTATTATTGTAACTAATAATGAAAGTCAAAAAAGGGCACTAAAAAAATAAAAGATATTAAATTAGCTATGAATAGTGTAATAGTTCTTACTAATTTCTAGGTCATTGAGTCCACAGATGAAACAATGCTGTTGGGCATTAACTGGTTTCAAAAAATTCAGACCCAGATTCATTTTGATAAGCAGAAGTTGTTCTTCCAGTACCTAGACAAAAATAGCGAAATCTCTATATTTTAAACAAGAGATAATATATTAGAAATACTACAAGAAGCCTATAGTAGTAACAAGAATGACTTCTTTAATACTTATGAAAGCAAAGACAATCTAGATGAGATTAAGAGTTATCATACAGATAGTATACAAATCAATGATAAGGATTGTTTCTTAACCCCTAGAAAAATGTGTATAGCTCTGCTATATATCTAACTGCTATTGAAGAAATCTTTATCTCTAACATTAATAGAAACCTGAACCAACCTCTGCTAAAATAATTGATGAGTTAGTAAGAGTTGAAACCTTAGACAAAAAGTAGCAAGCCAAAGCCTTATATATTTTACAAGAATCCTGCAGTTTGTTCGCATATAGGTTGGATGAATTAGGCCAATAGCAAGAGATCTAGCATGAAATCGATACTGGTAATACAAAACTAGTCAAATAATTAGCATATCGGATTTCACCAGATGAGCAAGAATTTCTAAATAAAAAAATAGAGAAGATGTTAAAAAATAAATTAATTAGTGAAATCAAAAGTCTCTGGACTTCGCCAGTTGTGATTGTTCCTAAAAAAAATGGTAAACTTAGATTATATGCCTATTACAGAAAGTTGAATGCAGTTACAAAGAAGGATGCATTCCCCTTACTCTGTATTGATGATTTATTAGCAACATTTAGCAAGACAAGGTGATTTTCTTCTCTTGATCTAGCTAGCAGTTACTGGCAAATAAAAATAAAATCTGAAGATCACAAAAAAATAGTGTTTATAACCAATCAAGGTATATACACTTTTAATGTTATGCTCTTTAAATTATATAATGCCCTGGTAATATTTCAAAGAGCCATGAACCACCTTCTATACGAATATATAGAACAATACATGGCTGTCTATTTAGATGATATAATAATTTACGTACCAACATATGAGGATCACTTGACTTATCTAGCAAATGTTTTTCTAAAATAAGGACGGCTGGGTTAACATTGAACTCTGAAAAATGCAACCTATTTAAAAACAATATTAGTTTTTTAGATCATACTGTAAAAACAGATAGAATAAGGTTTAACGAAAATAAGCTGACTAAAGTCAAAAAATTTCTAATACTAACCAACCTAAAGCAATTAAGAGGTTTTATTGGTCTTGTCTCTTATTATTGTTGTTTCATCAAAAATTTTGCCATGATAGCTAAGCTATTATTTATTCTTTTAGAAAAGAGAGTTAGATATGAGTAGAAAAATAAACAAGAGCAATTCTTTAATAGATTAAAAACTCGTCTCATAATAGCTCCAATTCTTAGGTACCCTGATTTTAAAAAAAACTTTTTATCTTCATACAGACATATTGGATATTGGCCTTGGCACTATACTAGTACAGAAAGATAATAACAAAAGAGAGTATGTTGTTGCTTATGCTAGCAAGAGCCTAACTCATCCTGAAAAAAATTACTCAGATACTGAGTTAGAATATTATATAGTAGTCTGGGTAGTCAAATATTTTTACTATTACCTGAGTTACAAGCTCTTTGTTATTATTACTGATTATTTGGCTTTAAAATAGCACCAAACCAGTACACTAAAGAAGAAAAGAGCTTGATGGATCCTACAGCTCTAGCTTTATAATTTTACTATTATCTATCAGGCTAGTCAAGTGTATAATAATGCAGATGTATTATTAAGGATAATAGGAGACAAATATAACACATCTAATTCTTACCAAAAAGCAGCTAATATAGAAAATATTGATAAAATATATAAAAAGAATACCACTTTTGGACCTTTAACAAATCTTAAAGACTAGGTCTACAGTTCAACTGAAGAAGTTGAAGTATTCTACATAATAACCGAAGACTATTTTGCTAAGAGAATTGTGAAAGAGGATAAAAATGTATTAATAAATACTGAAAAAGCATGGAACAAGATGTAGATTAACTAGTGGGATGAAAAGAAATTTGAGCAATATCTAGAAAATGAACAGCAACGTAGAAAGTTAGTTCAACAATTAAACAAAAAATTTTATAGAAGAGCAACTTGGACGTACAAATGGAGTATCACATCACAACAAAAAATAGTAATAATAAA